TGTCTGTGTCTTTTGCCCATTTTTTAATTTAGTTATCATACTTTTTCTTATAGAGGTCCAGGAATATTCTATAAACTTTTGTTATGAGTCTCTTCTCTGAAATTGTATTGCCAAATGTTTGTTCCCGGTCAGAAGGTTTCCTTCTCATCATGTTGGAAAGAAATGGAATGCATAAATATTGACATACTAGGTATTGGTGAGATGAGATAGACTGGGATGAGACATTTTGAATTAGACAATCATATGATCTACTATACTAGAGATGAAAAGATGAGGAAAAATGGAGTTGCTTTCATAGTTAAAAAATTCATTTCTTGATGCATTCTGAAATACAATATTGTAACAGGTAATATCCATACACTTACAAGGAAGTCCAGTGAATACCATTATCATATATGCACCAACAACCAGAGCCAAAGAGGAGGAAACAGAAGATTTCTACCAACTTTTGCAGTCAGAGATCAATTGAACATGCAATCAAGATGCATTAACAATAATGGGTGACTGAAATGCAAAAGTTGAGAGCAGAGAACAGGGATCAGTAGCTAGAAAGCATGGACTAGGTGATAGAAATGAAGCTGGAGATAAGATGATAAAACTTTGCACCATCAATGATTTATTTGTTGCAGGTTAAACACATGGATTTCACCTGATAGTAGGCACAGGAATCAGATAGATTATATCTGTGGAAAGAACCCCTGGAGAGTCTCAATAACAGCCATGAAAACTAGCCCTGGTGCTGATTGTGGAACAGACCACCAACTACTCATAAGCAAGTTCAAGCTGATTCTGAGGAAAGTGAAATCTAGTCCACAGAAACTAAAATATGACCTTGAGTCTATCCCACCTGAATTTCAGAACCATCTCAGAAACAGGCTAGAGGCCCTGAACACTAATGAGTGAAGACCGGATGATTTTGGGAAGATATCAAGATATCATCCAGGAAGAATGCAAAAAGTCATTACAAAGCTAGAGGAAGAAGAATAAACCAAAATGGATTTCAGAAGAGACTTTGAATATTGTACGAGAGCACTGAGAACCCAAAGCAGAGGGAAGAAATCAAGACATTAAGGAGCTGAACAAAACATTTCAAATGGTAGTCAGGGAAGACAAAATAATTATATTGAAATATGCAAAGAGCTGGAGTCAGAAAATCAAAAGGGACAAATTCGCTGAGCATTTCTTAAGCTCAAGGAACTGAAAAACAACTTCAAGCCTCGAGTTCCAATATTTAAGGATGCTTTGGGCAGAATATTAAGTGATCCTGGAAGTATTTTTTAATTTATTTTTATTTTATTATTTTTGTGTTTGTGTACTGTCAAATCAGATCTGACTGGTACAGGAGGAAATTGTCCCTCCTTCTCGGGCAGAGCATCTGGTGGCTTCGAACTGTGTACCTCTGGGATTGCAGTGCAGCCTCTTGCCACTAGGCCTCCAGAGCTCCCCAATCCTGGAAGTCTTAAAGGAAGATGGAAAGAGTATAAAGAATCATTATACCAAAAGGAATTGACAGACACAGAAGAATTTCATGACACAACATATAAGCAAGTGCCTGTGGTGATGAAGAAATAAATTCAAACTGCTTTGAAAGAATTGGCTATATACAAGGCCCCAGGAATTGTGACGGTGCTCACCAAGTTGTTCCAAGAAATCTGGAGGACAACCACTTGGCCAACAGACTGGAAGAGGTCTATATTTGTTCCCATTCCAAAGAAAGGTGATTTCCACAGAGTGTGGAAATTATCTAACAATATCATTAATATCACATGCAAGCAAGATTCTCCTGAAGATTTTCCAAAAACAACAGAAACAGCACATCTACAGAGAACTTTCAGAAGGGCAGGCTGTGTTTAGAAGGGGTTGTGATACTAGGGATGTTGTAGCTAATGTTAGATGGATCTTGGCTGAAAGCAGAGAGTACCAGAAGAATGTCAATCTTTGTTTCATTGATTATGCAAAGGAGTTTGTGGCTAATTCTGAGAAGAATGGGAATCCTAAAACACTTGATCATGTTAATGTGAAGCCTATACTTGGATCAGGAGGCAGTCATCAGAACAGAGCAAGGAAACACTACATGGTTCAAAATTGGGAAAAGTATGCATCAAGGATGTGTCCTATCTCCATATCTTTTTAATTTATATGTGGCAGATTATCCGAGAGGCTGGGCTCTGTGAGAAGTATGGCATCAGGATTGGAGGTAGACGTATCAACACTCTGTGTTATGGAGATGGCACAACTCTGCTTGCTGAAACTGAAGAGAACCTGAAGCACTTGCTGCAGAAGGTCAAGGATTTCAGCCTTCTATATGGATTGAAGCTCAACGTCAAGAAAGCAAAGATTTTCATCACTGGGCTGATTGGCAGCATCATGATAGATGGTGAAAGGATTGAAATTGACTGCTTTAGTTTGCTTGGCTCTACAGTCAACACTATTGGTACCAGCAGCAGGGAATTAAAAGATAAATTGCACTGGGAAAGTCTGCTGTCAGAGACCTCTTCAAGGTTCTGAGAAGCAATGATGTCAGTCTGGTGACCAAGGTGCACCTGATACAGGCCATGATCTTTGCCATTATTTGCTATGCTTCAGAGAGCTGGACAATGACTAAGGACGATAGGAGAGTTGATACCTTTAAACTTTAGTTCTGGAGAAGAGTATTGGATATACCATGGACTGCTAAAGTAAACAAACAGGACTGTCCTGGAGAGGGTGAAGCCAGGCTGCTTCTTGGAGGCAAGGATCTGAAGCTTCGTCTGACATACTTTGGAAATGTTGCAAGGAGCAACCAGTCCTTGGAGAGGGATGTCATGCTTGGAAAGATGAAGGGACAGCACAGGAGAGGAAGACCCTCGATGAGATGGATTGATTGAGTGACTTGGTTAATTGGGGTGTGTAATAAATAATGAGATTGGCCGAGGATAGAGCAGGGCATAGTGCTATTGTACATAGGATCACTATGAGTCCCAGGCAACTCGACGGCACATAACAACAACGACTAGATATATGGAATTGCTGGATCATATGGCGATTCAGTTTTTAGTGTTCTGAAATTGTACCACCTACTTTTCCATAGAAGCTGTACATGTTGCATCCTTATGAGGGAAAAATAACCCCATTCCCCTCTGTACTCACCAACTTTTGTTATTTTCTGGTTTTGTTTTTGCCTTTTTCAATGGTGTGTTATTTTAGATTTTTTTTTTCTTTTTCATCTCTTTCTGTTTGCTCTTGGCATTGACCATCTTTTCATGGGTTTAGTTTCCATTAGAAAGCACTCTGGTAAAAGAGCTTTGTTCATTTTCTTTATTTTCTAGTTACATTGTCAAAATTTTGTGTAATTTTTGGATTTCAGATTCTTACAAAATATATACTTTGTAAAGTATACTTGTGATGTATTTGTTCAAATTTATTAATTTCCATTATTATTCTGTTTGTGTTCTAGATTTTAATATTTATTTTGATAATTATATTTTCTCCATTTTTTTTCTTTTTCACAGAAACTGCAAATGTCTCCTTGTCCTGAATGTGAAGTGAAAAAGTCAACAGGGAAAAAATTGACCAACTTTGAGGAGGTTGCAACTAGAGAAGAAAAAATATTGTAAATACCAAGAAACTCTGTTTGGCACATTCATTTGCTATTTTCTTCATACTCTTTTTAGACCACAGGCTTGATGGACATAATATGTTTCTAAAGCATGCAACTTTTTCACAATTTTGTGTAATTTTATAAAGCAGTCCACAAATTTTCCAGAAGATTCTAGACCAATTATAATCCCTCAGCAATAACATTTTAGAATTATCATCAATAGGCATAATCACTTCATTGTGTTATCAGTAAACTCCACAGTATAAATCAGCCTGTTTTAAACCCAAATGCAACTTCACACTTGATTCTTCTGATCATTTTAATTACTCAAGAGAACACTGGGCAGTCTCTTCCATGACGTTTAACTGCCTCTGTAAACCCTTGGCAGGCTCAGCAATGGGCCAGTTCTGACTTGGTGGCACACAATGACAACTTTGATCTAACTGGTGACAGTAACTCAAGATTAAAAGCTGTGTATATTCAACATTTTTAGAATTCAAATTTTAGCCATACCACAAATGTTTTGTTCACATAAACCAACTCAAGTCACTTTTTTAAAAGGTTACATTCAAGCTAACTTAAACATATTGTTTATTTGAGAGTCTTTACTGTTATTTGTCTCATAAAGTTCTGTCATGTCTACATAATACCAAGACAATTCTATTAAGGATTCTTGTTATAGTGTACCATTGGGTTGGATCTGACCCATAGCTGAACCTATGGTTTTCAGAGGCAGTTATAATCTCTCGAGAGGAGGTTGCCCATCTTTCTCCCACACAGGAGCTGGTGCACTTGAACTGTGTGCCTTCAGGATTGTGGCACAACTTCTTGCCACTAGGCCAACAGAGATCCCTGTTAAAGATTATGTCCTTTAATTTTTTTTTCAAATCAATTAATTAACAGGAAATATATAAAATATCTAGAATTATACATTTCTGAATGAAAGCAGAATAGAGAATTCTAAAGTGAAAACATGAAAGCAAGTAATAGCCATTTAAAAATGAAGAATTAAAAATAAAACATCATGATACCAATGACTCTAGACTCATATTTCTTAAAAAAACATATATTATTAAGACAAGGGGATATTTGTATAACCTTTGTAATTTGAAGTCTTGATAGGAAATAATTATACTCATAAGGAGTATGAACATAGTGTATAGAAAGGAGGGTTTACTATGAATATAATTATTTGATTGAAAGGATCAACAGAATATCAAATTCTAGGCTCAAAATAATTGATTAAATTATAAACTTCATGCATTTGTATCAAACATAATTACTTTATCTGGTTAGGTCAATTTTCTAAATGCATAAAATATGCACAAACTATCAATTTTATGTAATTCTACCAAGCCCTATGTATTCTACCAATACATTGAATATATTTGCAGTGATGAATCCTGACAGTCTATGTTTAAAGAATATTGATTAAATTATATAAAACTAAATATGTAATCAATAGTCTAGCTTATAATATATGATGCAACAATTCATATTAGATCACAATGACAAAAAAATTTAGTGATTTTGATAGAGAACTATATCAGTTAAATAATTTTGAGATTTATTTATAAAAATATTCCACTTGCATCATATCACAGAATACATAAAAGATACAGAGAATTAATTTTATACTTGATGCATAGAACTTCCAGCTGAAGTGAAGTGATGAGTATGAATGAAAATATCAGAGTCAAAAGTTCTGACTCACTTTCTTTCAAGTTCTAAAAATTAGGTAATTTTCTAAGGAGGTGCACTTCTAGTGTCCCTAGTCCTGTTTCTTATCATTTTCCTACTGTGCCTAGGTGTCCTAACTACCTTCATAGAGTAATTAAAGGGAAAGAGTTTAGTTTAGGTCCACTTCTCCACCCCATTCTCTGTCGCACCTTCAGCCCTCGGTCGATGGATCTTTAGAAAATGTAATCACCAGTTCCCACTAAAACAGTATGTTTTGATGCACCTTACCTACTACATAAGAGGTAGGATTTTTTTTTAAGAAATCCTTAGAAAAGTATCATTAGAAAATGCTAATTTGATTTATTATTAGTCAAAATTGACCAGATTGTTTTCTTTCTTTTCTCTTTCTTTCTTTCTTTCTTTCTTTCTTTCTTTCTTTCTTTCTTTCTTTCTTTCTTTCTTTCTTTCTTTCTTTCTTTC